ATCCTCCCTTAACTGCCTTCAAGACCTCGTATCCCCACGCGCTCTACTCGATTCACACTTCGTCTCCGCACCCCTGGTAGAAGCCAAGATTCGATTACCACCTTCAGAAGAGGACATGGCCGCAAGGGCGCGACGAGAGCTATCCAACAGCGGTTTCAGCATCTCAAGCGACTGGGACGAAGAAGAAGAAGGTATCGTAAGAGTACCTTTTGACCGGAACTTTGGACCACCAGAAAAGGATCCAAGGTTTAGATGGAGTGTCGACTTTTGATCAGATCATCCCTACCTACCTACCTACCTACCTACCCACCTACCACCGCCATCACCATCACTCACACACCACATTCACAAACAATACCTGACTTCTCACTACGCGCATCATCAGCGTTGGCGTCTTTTTGCATAGCATCGTTCGCCGGGTCCTTCTACAGGCTTTCTTTTCCTTTCTCTTCTACTTCATTCTAGTTTTTTCAGCGAATGGTTTTGAGCGAAAACCGCATATATGCATTGCATTTTGGATAGACACGACACCTTGATGACCTACACCAAATGGCGTTTTGGGAGGGTCACGATGGATTCAAGCATCGTTCTTAGGGCTGGCTTTCGGCATTGTTCTCATTTTTTCACTTCTTCGTCATGGAATTTTGTATATATCGTTGCGCAGATGTGTAACTAACGAAAGGATTAAATTTATTTAGCTCCAAGGGTAGAGCTCAAGTCAGTATGCAGCTTTTCTTGCCTATCTGGTGACTCTGTTGCTCGATAAACGAGCGGGTTACATCACCGTCATTCTGATGCAGGATGCTAAGTAGTTCGACGACGTGATTGCTTGCTTACTATGCTCTCTGTCCTGTTCTAAAATCAAAAGCGCGCGCATGCTGCATGGCCTCCCATTGCGACTGATATCTTACAACTCATATTCCCACATCTATCTTGCACCCAAATCCCACAGCCTAAGCGTCTCACCCTTTCCACCCCTCTTCTTGTTACCCTTCTCCTTCCCGCCCTCGGTCAACTTCAACATACACTTTGACACTGCCGCCAAACACTCCAGCACTTCGCTCATCCGCCCCGTTTCAAGTAAACACCTTTGGACCCACTCATTGCCTTTGTCTGCTACTACAACAGCGACCTCCATAGCCTTGATTGCAGGATCCTTGTTCAAAAACCAGGAGGCCGCTTGTAAAACAGAGAGGTATGCGAGTATCATGTCTGGGATATACGCCTTCATCAGGTCCCAGGTTTTGTGTGTAAGGTAGTCTGGGTCTGCAGCCGAGGCTTGGGAGATGGCAGGAATGAGAGTATCGAAGACATTGGATATTGAGTCTAGAAGCGCCTTCGTGCGTTGAGTGTCAGGCTTGTGTTTGGCAGATGCGCCTTCTTTCTTGCGTTCTGCACGAATTCTGGAGGCATCGTTAGTTGGTGTGCGTAGAGTGATAGAAAAGAAGAGTGACTGACTGAATAAGTGTTTGTTCCTCTTCACGCCATTCACGGAAGAGAACCAACAGGCGAACAATCTGCTGGAGCGTGTAGTATGCCGTGCTGCTCTTACGTAGGTTATCTACAATCTCCCGGTGTTGATCGGCGTCAGGCAATTGTGCCAAAGGCATAGCGGCTGCTCGTGCAGAAGTCGAGAGATTGTCGCGATGTTCGTGGAGCTGCTGCTCGTCTTGTTCTTCCGCACCTGCCGTGGTGAAATCGAAGGGATAGCCGAGCAGAGCTTCTGTTCGAGACAAGGACAGAGACTCGACGCTGAGATCGCTAATGACCTTCTCGGCAGCGGCAAGTCGACCATTGACTATAAACCATGTCAGCAAGTTTCCGAATGTCTATATCGCAAGCAACTTACGCAAGAAGATGGTTAGCGCGCTCTTTAGGTGTCCAAACGTGTTTTCGTAGTCCTTCCCTACGTAGTTGTACCATTGCACCGCATCTATGACTATTTCGTCTTGTGGGCTTATCTCAGCACCACCAAATGTCCGCTTGACACGAACACCCGGCCATAGCAGCTGCTCAGTCGGAAGAGTAATTTTCTCCAGGATGTTGAACCGCTTGATAGGATTTGTGATAACGCCATAACCCTCTTTGGTAAAGTGTGTAAACCCGCTATCCCTAGAAGCAAACGTAAAGCTCTGTGATATAACTTGAACGACGTCGATTCGATATGATTCCATGAGTGCAACAGAGTGACGTTGCTCAGAGCTATTTTTGATGTCGGGGAGGACACGCGCGAGACTGTAGGCGGCTCGTTCGGGGATGAGCTGTGCTGCATAGAGCGGTATGGTATCGAATCGTTTGGTAAGACGTAGGAACTCGATGTAGGCTGTGATGACGTTGTCCATAGCCAAGAATATTTTGTCTTGATGTGTATCCTCGAAAAGCGTGTGTAGTCCGTTGCGAAGGACAATGAAGACGTGAACCAAGATGCGGAAAGCATGTGGATCTTTCGCGAGAGTCTGATAGTGTTGTTCTGCGCGGAATGTGCGATGGTCTCCAGCAGGTATCGGGCTTCGGTCTTCTTCTAACGAGTCTGGATGTATGATGAGACTGTGTGGTCGGTCGTCCTTGTCGAACATGTCCGCAAGAGCCACACCGACCTTCAGCATCAAATCATCAGTGTCTCTGGCGATAAGTGCGCTCTGAATAAGCTTGATTGGAGAGACCGCTTGGGATGCTGTACTCTTCTGTTGCTTCAGAATTTCAATCACCTTCTCAGGTGAGTTCTCCCAGTCTCCGATATTGGCGACTGCATCTTGGAAGAGAAACTTCTGAGTCAAGGATTCTGTCACTCTGCTCGGATAATTCTTCTGAAGATATGAGTCGAATCGGGAGAGCAGGAGTGCGTTGTAGTGGGCATGAAGATGATCATCCCAAGACTTGCAGACTGCTTGTACTTGCTTCAAATCTCCACTCAGCAGACCATATACAGCACCTTCATATGGTATCCGAGCTCCCCTTGCAGCGTAGAAGCTCATTCGGCGGAACAGGTATCCGACGGTCGGGCCTGCGACATTTGGTCCACCTTCTGGGTGACCTTCGTACGCTGCTCCAATACTGACGCCGCGCCACGACTCGTTCCTCTCGTAGCACCAGTCGACGATGGTCTTCCAGGGTAGTCCGCGTCGCATCATTTCGTATGCAACCATCCAGAGAGAGCGCTCATAATACTCGTCGCTCCTCTCGAGTGCGCGCTTTTGCCGTGAAGGAGCATCTGGGTCTAGTTGGGTAACGAGGTTCGCGGTCCTGTCAGAGGTCTTGAGGTTCGAGTTTATCGGCTTCAGCGGTTGGTCTGTGTCGTCCATGCGCTTCGCCTGCTTGATCTTTGTCTTGGTCTCCAACCAGCCGCTTGTCCAGGTGTGCGCGCCCTTTCCAGAGTGCTCTTCCAGCCCTGTAATGATGGCCTTCACATCGCTGTCGCTGTCGCGGGCCGTTTGTTCTAGCCAACGAAGGACGAGCGCTTTCTCCTTGGCCTGGTCATCCTCCAACAGAAAACGATCCCAGATCTCGCTGTTCTTGCAGTATCGTGCATTTCCGCCGACCTGTTCCAATCGCGTTTGCTTCTCCGCCGCCACATCAGTGCCAGGTTCAGGGTTGTAATGCTCGATGACCAACTTCAGCAGCTTCCATGTTGCAAGCTCTGCCTGCCATTCTCGTAGCTCTCGGACGCTCGCGGAATCGGGGACGGCGCTGGACTCGATAGATGGAATGACGGATTGGGACGACTGGCCGAAGACACTCTGTCCTGCATTGTCTGACGCATCTGCCATACTCTGTATTTTCCGACGGACAGTCTTGCTGAGGCTTCCCTTGTTCTCTGCTTCCGTTGTCCGCTTCAGCTCCTTCACATGTGATTCTGCAACGTCTTGGAACTTCCCGACGAGCTTGACCGTGGTCTGATATTTGGCTTTCTTCGATTCGTTGCCGTGGACATGCCAGTGGTCCACTCGCTCCGCGAACTTCTCCACCTCTTTCCCTACACGTTCGGCCATTGCACGCAGCGGTTGTAGCGGGTCGTTGGCCTTGGTGCCGTTCGTGACTCGTGACGTTCCGAAGGAAAACGCGTTGTTGTTATGAGACTACAGAGAGTGTGAACGCCTATTGTAAGGAGATTGAAAGTATGATGGGAGGCAGTCGGAGCTCCTGATGACTTACCTGAGCTGCAGTCGGCTGCGACTGGCGCGATAGTGATCGTGAAGCCATGATGAAAGGAATGGGTGAAACTTGGAAACGACAGAAGGAACAAGACAAGGCGATCTCAGAAACACTTGACTAAGCCACGCGCCAATATCGTGTTGGGAGCTTGCGATGTTCGTGGTTGACAGCCCTAAGCCCATCACAAAACAGAAGTCGCGCCCGGACGTCGCTGCAAGTTAGCGCGTCGCCAAGACTTGACACGCTAGCGAACATAAAACTCGAAATCTGCCCTTACCCAGATTTTCTCGGTACAATGTTTTCACAGGACGGCGCCTTTAGAGTCTCGTCAGGAATCTTCAGTTTCTCATGACGCGCTCGTGCTGTCCCAGATCAACACGCTTCCTGGTAACCTGGCTGGACTCCCAAGTGGGGATTGACAGTGCGGATGATATAGGAACTGTTACATCCCATAAATTAACGACCAAACTCCTGAATGCTTTGAGAATTACTCTAGACATCATGTCGTTTGCCGGTTCTTTGGCTTCCAGGTCCCGATCTTGTCATGATCTCACGTCGGCTTGCTGGCTTCACAAAGGACTATGTTTCCCAACACTATGTTGATTGCGATGGGCGTCATAGACGTTCGTTTCCCTTCCTACATTCATAGTAATGTGATGGCGAATGCCCGCGGTTTCATGCAGCGGATTGTTTTGTTATAAGGCTACAAATGCGAAACTTCAGCACAGAGAGAACGATTGAGGTCCCGGTGTCAATCTCAGGACAAATGGTTGGGTTCTTGTTTGTTATGATACATGACTACAATTACATCGGAACCTTAGTCCTCATCCACTAGTTTGCCTTGGAAGCTATGATATACCCTTAGCACGTTGCTCCATCTTAAGCCTAAGGCGCTGTCAGAGATGCTGTGTAGGGGAACATGATTGAACAAACACTCACTTCAGCAGCGAATATTTTGGACAGCTCACGGTACTGGCATTTTCTCCTTGTTCTTTGTAGAAAGCATTACAGCATTCATACAAGGCATCGATCTGACCAAAGTCAGTTTGTGCTTAGAATTCATACATGTATGTTCATAGCTTGTTTCAGGTGTGAGATGCGTACCTCTTTTCTGCATTTCCCTTCGTTGTAGTTGTTCTTTTGTATACAATCTGTCTCTCAGTAAGATGGATTACAAATTGCCCAGACTACACACTCTGGATTGCACATGCTCTAGGATGACATGGCGGGTCTGTCTTTAGGTCTTTGTCCATGTCCCCCTAAGACTTTGTCAATTTGGTGTTTCTCGCCAGTGCCATGGATGTGACATCATGAGCATACCATGGTGAAGCACGCAAACAGCCGAAACGCTGCACAAATTTGTACAAAAAAGGTGGGTAAGTATTGAAGTAACTGAGCCAGCAGTCTTGCAAGAGCTCAGGTAAGAGGAATTGTGCTTTGCAGGTAAAGGTGATGAAGATGAATCCGGTTGGTTGGATCTGGCCAATGCTTTAAGAGCGAGACCCCACTAATTCTCAGTGCTCCCACCTCTTCGTTGCGCTTTCCTCCTTCACATAACCTTTCGCGCGTTGCCACCGCTCCTACAAAACCCCCCGACGCGTCTGCGCAGCCTCACGAGAGCCTTCCATTACCCGACGTAATTTGCACCCAAAGCGCCGGTATTAAGGTATGGCTATCTCCGCACCACATAAAGCAGCTTCCCCCACGGCAAAACGTCCTTTCCTTAACGTCCACCGCTTCCGCTAGCACAGCCGACTGACCTTGCCGAACAGCCTTACCCTATCGCTCTACGACCCAGAATCACACCCAGCCATCCACGAACTCTCTACACCCCAAAATGTCTGACAACGGTTCGCCCAACGTGCAGCAGAAGCCTGAGGATGGTGGCCAGAGCGAGCACCTCAACATCAAGGTGACGGATAACAACAACGAGGTCTTCTTCAAGATCAAGCGCACCACTGCCCTTGGCAAGCTCATGAACGCTTTCTGCGACCGCCAGGGAAAGAACATCTCGAGCGTACGATTCCTGTTCGACGGTCAGCGCGTAACAGCTGCAGACAACCCAGACACGGTAAGTAGGAGAATAGTGGTCTCCCGCGATTAGCGCGAGGCTGCATTTCTTGAGCCAATTGCTGACAGGACATAGCTCGACATGCAAGACGGCGACACTCTCGAAGTCCACCAGGAGCAGATTGGTGGCTGCTGACCGGCGACCCCCCGCAGCGTTGTGCAGAGCTCCCTACAGCTGTACCAAACTTCGACACCCGGCGGCTAAGTCATCACCTTGTATACCCACGAGTACGACTTGCCGAAGACCTACGAGTACACGATTGCTTTCAGCGGCGGCGATGGCGGAAAAGAGGCATTGGTTTTGCTTTCAGATATGATTCTATGGGTTCGGGCGTCACGGATTTATCAAGCCCGCCTTGCGCGGCGCTCTTTGTGTCTTCACGTATTAGCTGATGGTGCGCCACATGCGAGGAGGATTGAATTCATTACATACTTTTCATGACTTACATGCACTCCTTTGGCACCAATGAGCAGTCTGTATAATATGTGTGAGGGTTGGTGCTGTGGGTACGACGAGCAAAGCAACGTTTTGGCTTTTAGCCGAACACGTTCAATGTCCAATATCTTCGTTTGCCAGTGAAGGTGCCATACTAACACACTCAAATTTCCGTGCAACTCAAACCAGCTCTTCAATCCTAATTTGTACATTTTCGTAGACTACATATACACAATTATAGAGGCTTCCAAGTCGTATCATACACCTAGCGAAGCCCTAGCAGAAGCGTGGTCGCTCCCCTAATCATCCCAAACAGCCTTCTTCCTCGCTTCCCTCTCCTCAGCCTCCTTCTTCTCCCTTTCCCTCTCCTCGTTCCTCCTCTTCCTCTCCTTCTCCCTCATAGCACGATCATATTCCCTCTCCTCATCCGTCCTCTTCGGTGCCCTAACACCCAAGGCACCTGCAATCAGCCTGCCAGCTACCGCCGTTGTCTTCTCTGGTCGCTTGTCCAGACTGCCACCCCCTCTGCTCGAGCTCCTACTCCCGCTATCGCTCAGATTCGAGTTCAAGCTATACGGCACATTATCCGGGTACTCAAACTGCGTCGGACTAGCGGGTGTAGGCGGCGGCGGGTTTGGCGGGATATCGCGAGACGTGGATGTAGACAGTGGTTGTAAAGAATCGTGTGGTGAACCCTTTGCTTCTGACTTGCCCGAGTCTACATCTTCGGTTTCGGTATCCGAGCCACTGAGTTCGGCTTCCCAGCTATCTGCCACGGGCTTGGATTTGGGCTTCTGCGCAGTTTTCTGTGGGTGTGACGTCGAGAGTTCAAGGTTACCGAGCGTGTTTGCGATTTCTATAGGAGGACAAGATGTTAGTGGTGCTTCTCCTTCCATCAAGAACTTTGATGGATGGGAGTGTGGAAAACGAGAAATACGTACCTTCTTCGCTGGGTGTCTTGTGCATAGGCGCCATATTGTTTCTTCCGCAGTGCGTGTACCTTGTGTGCTGAAAGGTCGTGTGAGGCTCGTGTTGATTTGCGGGGTAAAACGTTCCGGTCTCCTCGAACAAAGGGTATCGGATGATGCGGGGGAATGTTTGATAGCTTAACGCTTGTGACTCTAGTAGAATGGCAGCAGCAGCCTGTCAAGCGATTGAGGAGTGTTACTTGGATTTAAAAATCAAGGGTTCAATTGAGCTATAGACCCTAATTATGGAAATCCACGGATCACTCCAATATACGAAACATCGAATATGCTAGCTCTCCCCTGCGCCGATTGCCCGCAGAATAGGGTGCTTGTGGGGAAAGGGCGCGCGTCACAACGCACAACATGCTTTCGACGTCAGATCGATGCTTCATTTAGGAGCTGGACCCACTTTCTCGATTCTAGAACGTCTACTGTCCGAACAAATATAGATGTGGCTATGGCCTTGCCGGTAGGGAGCGAGGTGGTTTGCGCAACACCTACATGCGCGTTCCTGCATTCTGTGTTGAGTGCTGGGATCATATTCGGTCATACACGTGTTGTTGTGAAGGATATTCAGGGGCATATGGATTGCGGCATCTAGACCTTTGCAGAAGTTCTCAGCAGTCAAGCATGCATCAACTTGGGAAGTTACTAGCTTCTACGCTTCATACAGCTATCTGACCTCATTACTATCACGGTTAGTGTCGCTTTGCTGTCAATGCAGTATCTGATCGTAGTAGAGAACGCAGATCTGTGACCTCGAGATCCAACCGTGATACATTGATCAGACCCGATGACGTGAGAACAAAAGCTGCTTTACATATAAACGTTGTCATAGGGGATTCCAAATCGCAGCTATATCTCCAGTAGGCCTGATGGAGACATGGGCATGCATGGTTGATGTTGAGAGTGCTATACGGTGCACTTGGCTTGGAAAATGGCCAGATAGCATTCTAAGTAGTGTATCATTTTATCCCAAACATGGCTCACGAGAAATTCGAAAGGGTTTTTAAGGCATGAATTGAGCCGGTTCATCACTGTTTAAAATCTGCGGGCACTGAAACCACGAATCGATCCAACCACGAACAACTTCTATACATTGCAATACCAATGTATTTGAACTAGAAATTACGACCAGACTTCAACAGAGACAACCAAAACTAATGATACAAAAGCAAGGCACATACGATGCATGCTCACAAACTAGACAAAACGCCGCTGATTAGACAGAAAACACCCGCGGGGTATCATCTTGTCAAAACAGTTATGCCAAACCCAAAATGACCAATGCAAGCAATGCAAGATGACCCTGAAAACACCGACATATGCAATGCGCCACATACAGCCTCGTTACTTCTTCATAGGCTGGAGCCCATCCTTGGCTCTTCATCACTTCGTCTAATGCTCATCTTCTTCTTCGCTTTGCCCTTCTTTTTGGTAGACGGCTCGTTCGGCGGCGAGTGGGTACCGCGACTACCTCCTTGGCTGTCTCCCTGCTTCAAACCCTTGACTTCCTGAAGCATGTCGCGGAAGCCTTCTTCAAGCGTCGTCATCCGCGCAAGCATAATTCTGCTCATGCGGTTAGACTCAGAGTCGTTGTCGCTGCCCTTCTGCATTTCATGTGCCTTCATTCTAGCAGCCATCTCGAATTGCGTGGTAAACGATGCAGGTAGACCGTTAAGATTGCCAAAATTGGGGTTGAGGTTGTTGTCTCCGAGATCTGATGCAAGATCTAGAGCAATGGCATTGAACGAGGGCTCGCGTGCCAGGTTGCTTTTAGACAGTAGGTTGGATGACATCCCGCGTGGTGGCATGATCGCACGAGGACGAGAAGCCGCAGCAGGAGGGGGCACACTAGCCCGCTTTGGAGTTTTGGCGCCTGTTCCACTTGAAGTGTCCAGACGTCCCGGAGTTGCTGTACCAGTGGCTGTCCCGCTGCGAGCGCTTGTCCTCGGCCGCTTTTCGGGAGATGGAGCACGTGACACGTTCATAGTCTCCTTGACAGGACTGAAGAGAATTGTGCTTGTGGAAGTGTTGCGGTTGTGCCCTGGTTTGGATCGCTTCTTGCTAGGTGATAGAGGTGCTTTTGCTTTGAAGCTGGAATCAGAGGGTGAGGCCACAATGGCTGGAGTGCGGCTTTGCGACTTGGGCAGCATAGTCATGGGCGTACGGAAAGACTCATCTTCGGAAGACTCGTATCCTGTCTGAGGCCGTTTGCTATCCTTCTGACTCTGCTCGACCCGCGGGGTGACCTGCTGATCGGTACTCGCGTCGTCGTCTTCGTCATCTCCATCAGCATCAGTCTGCTGTGGCACCTCCTCCATGGTCATAGCTAAATTTAAGTCTGGTTCTTCTTCCTCTGCTATGGCCCGACCCAATGGGGTTGCGGCGTCGTCGGGATCGGAAACCACCGTCCTGGTAGCGAGCGGGTGCCTACGTCTCGGCTGACCGGCGGTTTTCGTTCGCCGTAAATATGGCCGAATGGGCCCCTCGAGTCGGTCCAAAACTGATCGTGAGTCGTCCTGAGGCGGTGTGTTCTCATCATCGTCGCCCATCTTCTTCATCCAATCCGATACAACATTGCCCGAGTTCCTCCTAGGCGTCGGATAGCGAGGTGTAGGTTGGAAGCTAGGGTCGCGAAAGGGTCGCCTGAACACCTCCTCGAGTGCCTGGTCCTTCTGGAAGGTAGTGACAGAAGGCTCACGGAGGCGAGGGCTGAATAATTCGGTAGGGCCCCGAATGCTGAACGCAGGCACAGGTGCTTTGGATTCAGCCCGACCCCGTTGTTCGACAAGATCGGTTGGACCGTACGATAGATGCGACAGAAGAACGCGCTCATAGAAGAAAATTACGAACAGGATGGGAAGATGCGTCAACTTAATGACGAGCCGATTCATGCGCAGAAACCTCTTGAAAGACATGGTGTATTTGAGCGGGATTAACAGCCACCCAATAATATTGGTCGGCGGGATGTAGGAGAAGAGCGCATCCGACTTGACCATAGAGATGGTGTTGACTGCGAATAGGAACTGATGCTCTTCATCGGCATTCTTGACGACTGCCATGAAGGAATTGGTCAGGACCGTAACAAGAATGGTGACGATAAGGAAGTGACAAATGAAGAGGAATAGAGCAAGAAGAGTCTTGCCGAGAAAGTTGACCTCGCCCCAGAGATCCCATGCGGCAGGTGTGAAACCCATAACCAATTGGAAGATGGCGTATGCGGCATCGGAAGCCCCGAGATCTCTCTTGAAGGCCAAGCTAAAAGCGACAAAGAAACCACTGCAGCTTATCACAATGAGGACGAGAATCGCAACCAGATCCATAGCCATCATCTTGAAGGCAATGAGCAGCTGCGAAAAGTACCGATAATGGTCCAGAGCCGAGAACAGCCTAGGAAAAAGCAGGACCGCGGTGGATCCCAGCACATCATAAGCCATAGCAGCCACCCCGTGGCGACTGACGTCGGGCATGAGAATTCCGTAAAGGCGTAAGACATAGTAAGCCATGAACATGAGGAGGATACCTAGATCAAAGGCATTCCAAACACTCATAATGTATAGACCAAAGCCCTGTTCAGAGAAACCAACTACTTCGTCGAGCATGTATCCAGCGCTCCAGAACCAGAACAAGACTTCAAGTGCTGTTATATCGTCCGACTTCTCAGCCAGCACAGCCAAGAACAGGCCCAGCATGATGGCGAAGGAGAGAGTCGAGAACAGGTTGCGGTAGCGCGGAACACGTAGACGGGAGAGTTTGAAGAGGGAGGCATCGTGGGGATCGTAGAGTGTTACTGTACGCCGAAGAAGCGCGGCAGGCGGAGGCAGGGGAGGCGCGGGCTTGGTCGGCGACATGCGACGAGACGGGCCTGTCCGTGGGGAGAGGTTGTCGCGGACGTTGTACCCACGTTCTTGGGGGGAGTCTGGCTTCCGGTGTAGGCTATCGGCTGCCGAGTGGAAGACAATGGTGCCTGCCCAGATGGCTTCCAGCTGGCGCACTACCAGAGGATGGGCAAGGAACTTCTTCGCCTGAGCGCGAATAGCAATCTCGAGCGTGGATATGCGCGCAGCATTACGGTACGCCTGCCGCGACCAGTTCGCGCCACCTGGGGTGTTGGTACCACGTTCCTGTACCATCATACCCTGCAAAGGATCGAAGTCGTAGGAGAGCGCATCGATGAGTTCTCGCGTGGAAAACTCCTTCAGCATGCGCATAGCCAGAAGCTCGCATATGAGCGCCCGCGTCTTACTGACGCCCACATTACCAGGATTCTCTTCTCCTTCCTTTTTGAATTGTAGGCAGTTGGCGAGCAGACAGTAGAGCAGCCCGCGCGAGAACTGGTCGGAGCGAATCTGCTGCTGGATGGGCTTGACGAGAAATTGCGACACTTGCGGGGAGCGCAGCTGGTCCCATGACAGCGTGGTTTCGCATCGCTGAACGAGGATTATGCGAATGGCGTGCGTGGTGTTGTAGATGGGTATGCGATCTGCGGATATTGTCAGTGCCATGAACAAGCAAGCAAGCAAGCATTATTCTCCGCGTACCCAAAACTTCCGCAGAAAAGACGGGCAGCAAGGGCCCGTCTCGCTGGCGGTCCTCGTCTTCGTCATCTTCGTCGCCGTCATACTGCGCTACGCCCTCCTGCTCATCTTCACTTTCCGAGTCCTCTCCGTTCTGGCGACGACGGTAGCGGTTGATGGCCGCGAGAAGTGGCGTGGTCTCAGATGGCCGGCGTGACTTTTTGCTGAAGAATGAAGCGAACATGGAAACTACCTCGAGCCTCTAAAGGAAACGAAATTCCTCGTCAGCGTCGGCGTAGGTAGGGGAGAGGGTGGTGGTGCGAGTTGGGTGGAGAGTGCTAGGTTTCATCACGGGTGGGAAATGAAGCACGAGATGGAGGATCGTGAAAAGCGCTCTTGCCTACTTTCGTGCCACATGCAGTTCACCGCCTGAGAACTCTGGCCCGTCATGCGCCATGTTCGCCTTGGAGAGAAGATGCAGACGGGT